TGAAAAATAATCATTTTCCAAAAGAAAAAAGATTAGTGAGAAGTGTGGCTTTTTTTTTTTTTTTTTTTTACATTTTTGCACATATCAGTTTGGGCTTAAGAGAAAATAGCTGGATTCTCTTATCTACTCTGCATTCAGTCTGTTGCATTAACACATGTCGTGTAGCTTCTGGAAAACACCACTGTATACTCATTAAAGGAGAGCAAAGATGGAAAGCGACATCTTAGTATTATTATGCAGATAGCTTTGCCCATGCAGATCCCCTGAAAGGGTCTCAGGGAGCCCCAGGCAGTGGTGTGGTGGTAAATGCTTAACAGTCTGCTCTCCTTGGGGAAAAATTCCAAGTCAAAGTTGTCAATTCTGTGCCTGAACATACCTGAATGATGCAAGAGCCGATTAGCTGTAGGAAACCCATGTCCCACTAAGACCTGCTCCAGCACCCCGGGGCCCCTGAAGCCCGCTTTTGGGACCATTGGTCTATCAGGCTGCCCGGTGGCCCGCTCCTTGTCAGTCTTTGTACTGGCAGGCCCAGCATGTGACCCTCACAGATAGTCTCCTTGCTCCTGCTGGATGGCCAGTGGAGGACAGGACACCCCGGCCACACTCTCCCTACCACTGTGTGTCTTACTCGGCCCTGGTCAGCAGGCCTAAGTCATCCGCTGACCTTGTTCACTCTCCAGTGTTGTCTTGTCCAATACTTGTTTTCTATGCAATCGAGTTTTTGTCTCATTAGATATAAAAAAATAAGCACTTGTGTTTTGCTCTACAGTATGGACTTGAGATGTGTCAGGGGGATGTTCTTATACAGAAACCGAGCAGTGAAGTCTCCCAGGGCAGGGTCTGTCTCCATCCTCTGAAGCTCCTTCAGGCCTGTGACTCAGCTCCAAAAACGGAATCAATGCACTGCGCTGGCTGACATTAGAGAGCCCCAATAATAGAACTATAAAGGTTGACGTTTCTTTGTCTAACAAATATGTTTTTCTAACCAATTCAACATTTCCAGCTGGTACTCTGTCATTCCCAGGTTGCTATTTAGTGGAAATAAGAGCTCCATTTTATTAAAATCTTTCCCCTCTGGGTATAATAGCTTATGTAACAGGAACAGCAAAAGATTTCGGTTCTTATAAATAAGAAAAAAAATCATCAAAATTACTATTAGAGCGTGTATATCTCCTTACTGCGGTAAACAGTGTCTATTCCTGCCACTGATGGAATTATAATGGTCCTCCTGCTGAAGAGTTATTGACTCAAACCAAGAAAAACAAGAGAAAATCATATCCCATCTGCTACCCAGGAACTCTTATTGAGTTTCTTTTCAATGCCATTTTTAAGCTTCATAAATTGATGTATCTTTTCCCTGAGAATTTTCTAGAAATTCCAAAGAAAGGCTAGGATGTCACGATTTAAAATATTCCCTCCCTCCCTCCTTCCTTCCTTTCCTCCTTCCTTCCTTCCTTCCCTCCTTTCTTCCTTTTTTTGAGAAGCTTTGTCATGTACTTTAATATCTGGTATATCTAGGCCCTCAACCCGACCCCACTGTTCCTCTTTACTTAGATATTTCTTCTGACTCATTTTTGGGGAACACATAATACATAATCTAACACTCTGAAGCAGCATGAGTTTGGCTTTTCGTTACAATAAAAAGGACACATGTCTAGCAGAATTCACTCTCAGGTTTAACACACAAAAAGGGAAGGTCCTTGTCTGTCTGTCCACACTACTTCCACAGTCCCCCAGCACCTTGTATAGATTAATGAAGGTTTGGAAAACTCAGGAATGCTTTTATGTATTATATTTTACTTCATAGCACATAAGCTCAGGAACTGTCTTCAGGGTTTTCAAGTTCTGATTCTTGAAAGTTCAAGATCAAATCCCAGAGTGAACAGGGTACAGGGCCAGAGACCTGGGCTCAGCTCCTGCTCTGCCACTCACCAGCTGTGACCCGTGGGAAGACACTCCCACAGATCCCTTGTTTGTACATCCCTGCACACAGTCAGCATGTACTTGTCCTGGGTTGGGTCCTGAGAATGCGGAGACCTGTGACAACACATCTGCCCTTGAGGGTCTCCAAGTGGAGCAGAGGAAATCAGACCCGGGAATGATATATGGCAATACCCTCGTGGCTGGTCCCCCCCAAGAGAGATTTAAACAAGCTGCTGGAGCCCAGATGAGGGGTAGCTAATGCTTTCTGAGGTGTCTGTGCTGATTCCAGAGAGAAGAAAACATCTCCGCTCGTCTTGAAGAAGGAGGAAGCATTTTCTAAATGAAGGAGATAAAACAATTTCCCGGAGGGTATCACAAAGTTCAGGAACAGTTAATGATTAACTGTAGCTGAAGTGGAATTAGGGGAACACGCCAGTCTTCCGCCTGTTTGCTCTCAGATCCATCCTCTGCCCTGCCTCTGCCCTGGTCTGCATCGTCGCCTTACTGAGGCGACGTCCAGGCTCAGTCAAGGGGGCTGGCCCCCGCAAAACTGTGTTTCCAGGGTCCCCTAGCTTCTGGCTCCATTCAGCCAATGAGAGACACGGGCAGGAGACTGCAGGGTAAGAGGAAGGGCGTAGTAGACCGTTTCTCCTGCATCCCTCAGTGTCAGGCAGCATCTCAACAGTGACTGGGCTCCTCCATGCCTTTAATCCCCACCAATGGCCCCTCTCTCTGTGAACTAGCTCCACCAGGCAGGTCCCCGGCTCCCAAGCTCTGGAAACGCCATCTCCCCTCTTCCTCCCTTGCGCTCTAGAGGGGGTGGGCAGCTTCCCGCTATGAGTCATCTTGGAGTTCCCTCACTCCGAGTGTCCTGTTTGGCTTCCCCATTTTGCCATCCCCTGTGCCACTAAATTCCCAGCTGGGAACACCTAGAAAGGTCTCTGTGAGATGTGTGTGTGGAAGGGGGGGAAGAGCACATTGTGAAGAGCCCTGAGTGTATGCTGGTTAGGAAGTCCAGTTTTCACTCCATGGTTTTCATCTCTTTAGGGATGACAGACATAAAGGACAGGCCCAGGCAGGGAGTTGAGGGGAAGAAGCTACTAAAACAGACCAAAGGAGGATGACGACGGCCTGATCTAAGGCAGGGGCAAAGAGAAGCTATGTTCGTGAGGCATTCTTGAGAGAAAATGCATAGATTCAGAAATGGGTTTGATGGAAGGGCCGAGTGAGAGGACATGGAGGATGACTCCCAGGTTCCAGTTTGGAGGGCTGAGTAAATGATGGCACCCATGGGAGAGGATGAAGGAGAGAAGAAAGTGAAGGATGCCGGGAGGAGACATATCCAGGTTGGGGTGCCTTAGGGACGGTCTTAGAGTAATGGGGGTGACTCAGACTAGCTGACATCTATCATCTCTTCCAGAATAAATTATATGATTCTGAGGAATGGCCACATTTTCTCTGTGGTATCAATAATTGTTTTAACACTGCCCAAGGTGCTAATTTATTTATTTATTTTTTACTTTGCAAGTAATCTGGTTGTCATTTTAGTGATGACATTTCACATAACAGGTTTAGATCTATGTCAGGAACGTAAGGTCTGGAGAGATAAGACATCCCAGAGAGCCAGCAGCGCATGAACTCCTGGAAGCTAGTACTGGGGTCTGCTGTCTGGTCCTTCCCCATCACACCCACTGCTACAGCACAGCCCCGTGTTTCCCCCTATTTGGGATTTAGTCAGTGCTGCTTCCCCCAAAGTAACTCCCATTCAGCCTGTGCGACCTTCCACCCACGACTAGGTCTGAGATCCCTACTGCTAATGACTGGATTTGACAGCAGTTCTTAGGGTCCAGGGGGTGTTGTTAAAGGTACCTCGGTGCCTGGATGGGGGAGTCTGAGGACTGTGGGAGAGGTCTGTAGCCCTTCCAGAGGCCCCTTTGTAAGAAAGGGTACTGACAGTCAAGAGAGATTGCTTCCTTTGGGAGGTGAGACTCATAGGGCCCGGGTGATAAGATAGGGGCACAAAGGCTGGCCAGGTGCCCCAGGGTGGTCCTTGAGCCAAGGGCAACAGATGGGTAACAACACACCAGCCCATGAAGCTGCCAGTTATAGGGTGGGCTGCCAGGAGGCAAACAACCCATTTCTCAGTTCTGCTCAGGCCTCGCCAGGACCTTAAGAAGCCGACTCCCCGAGGTTCACATTTGGCAACAGGGGAAAGGTGCAAACATGTTATTCCCCAAACCCACCCGAGACCCAGTGACAGGTCCTGGGCTTAAATTAAAGGAGAGGAGATGGTGGTTAGTGATGAGGAAAAGTTAAAATGTGAAATCCCAAGATGCTGTGACTCAGGGAGATGCCCGAACCTGTGCCCTGGGCAGTGATCTAATAGAGAACAGCCTTGGCTGGTATGGCCAGGTGCCCACCTGTTGAAGGACAGGAAGTTCCCTTTATCAAAGTCACATCTGGTCCTTGAATTCTGAGATGCTGCTCTTCCAGGAAGAATGGTTACTACCAGAAAAGTGAAAAACAAAACAACAACAAAAAAAAAAAAAAAGAAAAGAAAAGAAAGAAGAAGAGGAGGAGGAGGCAGCAAAAGAGGAAGAAGAAAAAGAAAAGCCCTTTATCTAGCACGTTGCCTCCACTGGCACAGAGAACGGAGATGGGCCCGAAGTTGTTACCAAAGCCTCTGTCTGCAACGGCCCAGAAAGCTCCTGAAGGTGAAACCCCTCAAGACAACTGCTGGCCTCTGCCCCCGCTCATCCTTCTCTTCCTCTCCGCTGTTCCCACAGCCTAACACAACAACACAACCACTGTGTGACCTCCAGGACAGACTGGTTTTATTTTCATCAACCTTTAACCATGCAGGTTAGACAAAGAGAAAGGGCCTTGGAGAAACGCAGGTGTAACGAGGTCATTTTCCATCAGGTCTAACGTGACAGGGAGACCATGCAGGGAGCAGGTGATCCCACCACAGCCAGATGACATGTGACAACAGCCCCCCAAAGCCAACTGTCCCATCCACACGATGGCTGGCTTTGGTGTCGCAGAGGCAGAAAGAGGGTGTCTTTTCTTTTCCTTACACTTTTGCAGAAGAGGGTTTTCTTGGACACGGGATGGAGAATGATGTGGGTATGGTTTTAATTCCTTTGAAGAGAAGTGTGACGTCTCTCCAAGTTGTCAGGAGACCTCTGGTTCCTCATTTCCTCTGGGAGTGCAGCAAAGCACTGCTGGTGGAGAGAAGGGGGGGTCAGGGGCTGAAGGGCATTCCTGAGGCCCTCCGACTCTGTGGCCGCTGCTGCTTTAACATCAGTCTCACTCAGGGAAGCCTTGAAGGGAACTCTCTCCTGCTTGGAACCAACCAGAGTCCGCCTGGCTCCAGGTGATGCTGCAGAAGACCTCTGAGATTTGCTCTCAGAAGTTAGAGCAAGAGGGAAATAATAAAGACTGCTGATCTCCCCATGCAAGAGCTTCCTCTATAAGAAGCTCTGACTCAAGTCAAAGCTTTGACCCTCTGCCTCAGCTCCACGCCCATCACAGTCCCCACTGCTGTCCGGGTTCGGCTCAGCAAGCTGCTGGAGGGTGGGGCTGTCCTCATTAGTCTTCAGACCTTCAGAGCCAGCCGAGGCCCGGCACACAGCACTCCATCAACATTTGGTACAGAAGAAGGGAAATTTGGGATCAATGTAAGGCCTCAGTGGAAAAGGGCTATTGGAAGGAGGGCCATGAAGACAACCTAGGACAAATCGGAATGAAGCAGACGGACGGCAAGGGGGCGATATGAAAAGATGTGAATGGAACCTAAGGGCTGGAACTGGACATGGGTCGCGATTACACTTACTGAGGCGACGTCCAGGCTCAGAGCCCGCGAGTTTATATGCATTGTCTCATTTTCATCCTGACAGCAACCCTATGATGTACCCATTATTATTATCATCCCCAGTTTCTGAATGAAACATCTCCCAAGTTCACCTGTACTCTGCCCTTGAACAAGCTGGAGGCCCAAATCATCTGGGTGCTGGGGTAGGAGGTGAGGCCCCATGAAGGTAGTTTGGAAAAGCACAGTTACATTCATTTGATGATCTAAACTGTAACCACATAAACAGATTTGACAATTAGCCTCTCCTAAACTGTTGCCCTCTGGCCCTTTACGTGGCATTTGACACTTCCTTCTCAAAACTCCCCGGGGGGGACCTTTTGGTTCTCCCAAGGCCCAGACCACACCTCCAGGCGGCTCCCCCCACAGGGCTCCCCTGAGGCTGGGTCAGCTCTCTTGCCACAGCTCCCACCCGCCTCATTTGAAAGGCTCCCTCACCCTCAGCCAGACTGCATTTCCCAGTGTGAGTGAGCATCCCTGCTTCATCGAGGCACGGGGCTACCATCTCAGACTCCGTTCTCCCTCCCGTCTCCCTTCCTGATGGGCCTTTTGCTCCCACAAAGAGGCTCTCAGAAAGTGATGGAGATTCCAGAGACCCTGCAAGTGGAGTGACATGGAAGCTGGAATACACAGCCAACGGACAACAGTTCAGATTTAGCTTGGCACTCAGAAGCATTTTTAAGCAGGGACTGAGCCAGGCCCCACCCTCCATGGCCTAAGGGTGCTCTAAGGAAAGGGGAGAGACCGGAGACCACCCTAGGCAGGCTATAGAACAGACGGGCTAAGGAGGATCCAGAAACCTTGGCTTGACCTTTTGGTGACTTTTAGCTACCAAAGGCCAACATCATTGGAGCTGTGCCGCATCTTCCCACAAGGCTCACACACACCTCCCACTGCGTTAGGTTCGTATCTCCAAAGCTGACCACAGATGTGTGAAGTACTGTAGACTGCCAACGGCCCCCAGAGTTCTGGAAGACTCTGTGGCTGGGGCATGAGTCGATGTCCTGGGAAAGGCAGATGGGCAATCCCCTACTGACCAGCGGTGAGGCCAGCTCTGGCCCAGGCCTGGGGAGGGAGCACACGGGACCGAAGGCGGCCCTCTCACCCCAGCCCTGGGGGGAGAAGCTTCCCGAGGTCCGTTACCCCAGGCACACCCCAGACGGCCAGCCCACACATGGGCAGGCAGCCTAGAGTCCCCTCAGTTCAATGGTTGACATCGGGCTATTGGGACTGATGGGCTTGATCAGGATGACAGAAGAGGGAAAGCAGGTGCGGAGTCCAGGAAGGGGACCCAAGAGAAGCAGACAGAATCTGAGGAGTGGCTTCCCCCAACAACTGAGCCAGTCAGCTGTGGAAGGACTTAAGGGATCAGCTAGCCAGAAGTTTCACAGTTGTTTTTAAAAACAGTGAAACTTATCAAACCAAATCTCAAGAAAAACCAAATCCATAAATAAAAGATTTGTACAGAGAACCTGTCTGGTTAAGCAAGGCCTGTTGGGTTGCCTACAATCTACACCCCTCTGGCAGCTCTTCTGGGTAATTGTAGGGGTTCTACAGTTTGGTTTTTTCAAGTTAATAATATATGTACTAGTGCTTTGCAATTTGTACTTTCACATACAATGTCACACCCAGTCCTCACACTAACCCCATAGGAATATCATGGTCATATTTCTGATGAAGTACTTGAGGCCCCAAGTTGTGAAGTACCTATGCCCCAAATCACACAGCTAACATGTGATGGAGCAGAAACTTGAATCTAGGCTTTCTGACTACAAATCCAGTACTCTTTACTCCATGTCATGTCCAGAAGAAAAGGTACCACAACCCAACTGGTACCAAAAGGGAGGTCTTGATGAGAGGCAGTATAGCCTACTGGTTAGAGACCAGCTCTGGAACCACACCACTGGGGTTCAATCTTTTCTGCCATTCACTTAGCTGTGTCACCTTTCTTCATCTGGAAAATAGGACAATAGCACCTGCCTCTAAGGCTCAGTTAATATTAAACGTATTAATCTACATAAATTACCAGCACACAGTGTCTGGCACAAAAATAAGTGCTTAATACTCATGCTTGTCCATTCTTCACTCCTGGCCAGCATTTATTCAGTGCCTGCTGCATGCAGAGGTCTGAACCTCATTCTATTGTGGGAAGGGGTGCAAGTGGGACAGGACCCCAAGTTCCTGTTCCCAAGATGTTTTCAGTCCAGTGGGGAGCATGTCTAGGCACAAAGCACAGCACCAGTTTCTGGAGTGGTTGGGTCCCTGGACGCTCTGCTAAGAATGTGCCCTGGAACATGACAAAAATGCTGGCTTGGACACCATACCCCAGAGAAACAGACCTCTGCTTTGGGGTACTATTTGTTACAATAGTTTAGCGTGGCCTAAGTAATATGTTTCAGAATCAGGATCTCTCAGCGGTAGCTAGAAGTCTGCTTTTTTAATAAGTTCTCAGGTTCCATTCTGCAGCCCGTTACAGTGTGAGACGTGCCGAGCTAGACCACCGTGCCGGCTTCCGGGTCACTTTCTCCTTGCTGGCCACTCCTCACTGCCCCACCTCTCGGGCACCTAGGCTGGTGCTAGACCTCTGCTCTCTTCCATCTACACTTGTGCTCTTGGTGGGCCCATCTCGGCTCCTGCCTTGGATGCCATCTAAGGCTGACAATGCCCTGGTTCCTATCTGCAGCCTGGACCCCCATCCTGAACTCGAGTCATCCCGACTGCCTAGTCCATAGCTCCATGTTTGTTCACTGAGCATCTCAAACGTAAGACATCCAGGCCCACCCAGCCTGCTCCTCCTATACCGCCTTCCCCCACCTCAGTAAACCAGTACCGCCAGTCACCCTGTTGCTTGGACCAAGAATTCTGGAGTCATCCTTGGCACCTCTCACTCTCCATCCCACAACACCAAATCCTATTGGCTCTTCCTCCAAGCATATCTACCTACTTCTCTCTACTGTCAGCATAACCATCCCAGTCTAAGCCACCGTCTCCTCCCCACTGGATAAAGCGCTCGTCTCCTAGCTGGTCTCTTCCTCTGCCCCTGTCCCTTTACAGTCTATTCACAACCCAGCAGTCAGAGTGATCCTTTTAAAAACAGAAGTCAGATACGTCACTCCTCTGCTCCAAGGGCCCCATCTCACTCAGGGTAAAAGCCAGTGTCCTCAGAGTCCTGTGATCTGGCCTCCATTCTCTGTCCCCATTTCCCAGCGCTTTCCTCTGTTCACACACTCCAGTGACACCAGCCTCGCTTCTTCTTGACTAGTAGAAGAGCCTTCTGCGTGCTGCCGCCCTGCCTGGAATGCTCTTCTGCCTGACACCTGAATAGCTTATTCCTCACTTCTTGTACCTGCTCAGGTGTTACCTCACAAGTGAGGGCTTCACTGACCCACGTGGAGTAGCAACATCCCCGGCAGCCCCGTCATCACCTGCTGCATTTTTCTCCAAAGCGCTTATTACCACGTAGCTCGGTATATGCTTGCTTCTTTACTATCTTCCTGCCAGAATATAAGCTCCATGAGGGCAAGAATGTTTCTTCTGCTTCCTGAGGTAGCAGTACTTAGAACTGGGCATATGATAGGCACTCAGTAAGTACTCATGGGAAGACTGAACAGCAGCCTTACAGTTACTGCAGAAAGCAGGACAGGCTCTCTCCCACGGAGCATGCTCCCCAGGGCCTAACACTTCATCTCAACCCAGTCTGAGTCCTGAAATTCTACCAGTCACAGCTAGAGAAGGCAAAGCTGGCTAATGATGGCTGACTGGGGGGGGGGGGGCGGGGGTAGTCGGTGTAAGGAGGGGGAGGGTCTAGCTATCCGGGGCTGGAAGAGTGGAGCCTGAACAGTGCTCCTTACTCCCACCAATGTGAACTAGCCCCTGGGTGAGGTGTCCCAGTGGGCAGCCAGGTACCTGCGAAAGAGAGAAAATGCTGAGAAGGACTTTTTTCTTCTTTTGCCACAAAAACTTCTAGTTAGAAAACAATCATGGAAGAAGTGTTCAAATAATTCAATCTAAGAAGATGTGATAAGAGATATGGAAAATGAAAATCATGAAACAATTGTCTAAAGGACTAAGGACAATAAAAAAGAATATCATAGAACTGAATCTATAGTTATCATAGAACTAAAATCCTAGACAATATCAACATGGCGAGATGTGGGGAAAGACCAAAGGGACAGAGCAGTGCAACGTATTTGTCTGATTAGAAAGAAAATAGAGATCTCGAGCCCCTCATTCTTGAGAAGGACTTTTTATTCAAAAAACAGGTACGGGGGTCTTCCCTGGTGGCGCAGTGGTTGAGAGTCCGCCTGCCGATGCAGGGGACACGGGTTCGTGCCCCGGTCTGGGAAGATCCCACATGCCGCGGAGCGGCTGGGCCCGTGAGCCATGGCCACTGGGCCTGCGCGTCCGGAGCCTATGCTCCACAACGGGAGCGGCCACAACAATGAGAGGCCCGCGTACCGCAAAAAACAAACAAACAAACAACAACAACAACAAAAACAGGTACGGGGCCCTCAGCAAGGTGCCTCACAAGGTGCTAGAGATCTAAAATCACATTTGCTGGATTCCTTTTCCAGAGACTTCATCAGGTAACAGAGTTCTGGGCCAGTTTCCCTTTCAGCTCACTCTCTTGTTTTCAACATCTGTTTCACACCGTCCTCTTCTGCACAGACCTTGACCACACTCCCCGTCTCCCCAGGAAACCTCATTTCCTATTGCACAGAAAACAGAAGTTTTCAGAGCAGAGATACCTCCACTTCCTGCCACCAGGACTGCACATCCGGCCCCCTGTGCAGGGGGCCCCTGCTCTGCCCTTCCTCCGCCCCCCCCCAGAGCCCCCGCAGAGGTGGCCTCTGCACCAGGCCAAGCTCTCCACCTGTCCCAGCCTCCTGTCTCCTCAGGGGTTTTCTGATGGGAAGAGGCTGCTTTTCCGTCAGCCTCCCCCTTGCAGCTGGCTCCTTCCATCAGCACTCACACAATCACAAATCTCTCCTGAGATGCAAGCAACCCCCCAAATTCTCACTCTCATATTTCTCTAAGGTTCGAGCTCTGCTTCCTCTCACAGTCAAACCTCCTGACTCATCCTCCCCCTCTCGCAGCGGAGTGACTATCTCCACCGGCCTCTCTTCAATCCAACGCTCAGCCCACTCCGGCCTGGCTCACACCCCACCAAGCCCCCCAAACTGCTCTCACCCAGGACCCAGGGACTCCTGGGTCAATTAAGTCAATGGTCAATTTTCCATCTTCATCTTAAGTGGCTTCCCAGCAACATCTGATGTTAGGGGCCCCGACCCCCATTCCGAACCCAAACACACACTTTAAAATATTTTTTCCCCTTTAGCTTCCCTGAATCCACACTGTCCTGGCATCAAAGACCACGTACGAAC